TTTTGTGGTGGTTGTGTCTCTGTCACTATGCCTTTCAGCTAGGGGCAGAGTTGCCTTCTGTGAACTGCCCAAGTTCTACAGGTTCTCATTTTTCCTTCTTAAAAGGGAGGTAATGTTAACTGTATCACAGGACTAATTGAAAATTATGTATACAAAGCAGGAGTTTTGCTTACCCATAAGAGAATTTTGAGAAAAAAATTCTCTTATTTTAAAGTTGACATCTGTCAACTGTTTAATAGAAAAATGTGATCTCTAGTACGTTAAAGATATTAGCACTTTGAAATAAAGCTATTATTTTCAGTGCATCCCATTAAATATAAATACTACAGTGATGCAGTGGTGTCTATTCCATAAAATATTTGGGTAGGCTTCTCAGAGTCTGAAAGTTTATTTACATCATTCCTTTTGTCTTTGAAATCATTTCCATGCATATTCTCCACAGAACTTTAACTTCCATATTTGTGTGCCTAAAGGTGTTTTATTGATCGCCTGCCCAACTTTTCTACTTTTGATGTCCCAACGGTCCCAACTTTCATGTATTCTTGGGACTGTATATTTCTAAGTGTTAAAATCACTCTGCTTGAATTAATGCATAATTGCTTAAAACAGTAGTAGTTATGGTATCTTGAGTAAAGGAGGACTTTGTTGACACAGTGTTTGGAACTCTGGAGCTTTTAAATTTTGTGGGCAATGGATTCTTGCAGGATTTAGAAGGGGTAACAAATGCAGCATGCCCCCACCTTAAGGTGAAAGGGCATTTGTGAGAGGGATGACAGAAGTGGCCTGAGTGTGCACAGACCTCCCATTACCCACAGTGATATGCAGAACTTATGCAGACCAAGACAGCCTCCTTAAGTGAAGAACATGAGCTTTTCACTGGGGAGGTACTGGTGGGGCTTCACATTGGTGTGTCCCCAGGTGTCTGCACTCTGCTGCAGTACTTCTGGTCAGTCACTGAGAAAAGTAAGAATTACCTCGACCCTAGCCTTGTGGTACTGCTAAGTTGGCCTGATAGCCAAGATGCGTACCAGGAGATAGTGCACAGAGCATGGGTGTACTGGGCAAAGGGACAGTTCCCACCTGTGGCAGGACTGAGTGGGGCTGTGTGACATCCCATGATTCTGCTCAGATTATGTGTAATTTAAAGCAGATGCATTGTTTATTTCTGGAATTTTCCATTTAAATTTTTGGGCCATAGCTGACCATATGAAATATGCCTCAGATAAAGCTAGTATAGTTTAGACTCCCTACAAGTTCTCTGGCAGATTGTTTTGGGAAAGCAAACATAGGAAAGCTGAAAGTCCGAAAATTAACTCACTTAAAACTTATGCATGCCAAGTACCCCTGCAAAAGTCAGTTTATCCCAATTCAAAGTTGATATATTAAGTATATAAGTTAGAGCCTATTATGTAAATAGCAGAATTTTTAAAACTTGGAGCATCTTATTCTCAGGGTTGTACATTCTTTATTCAGTATATTTGCTCAGTGATTTCCATTAAAGTCCTTTTGATGCTTTAAACAGAATCTAAAAAGTTGTAAGATTTTATTTTTGTGCTTTGAAATTTGCAGTTGATGTAGAAATCCTAGCTAACCAAGTTGTTGTTAGTTGTTGTTAGTTGGTTGTCCCCAGTGGTCTCATAAATGTACTTTGCCAACTGCAGTCAAAAGAGACTTAAAAGATTTCAAAGGAATTAAGCTTTTAAAGTTCTATTTAAAATTTTAAAAAATTACTTATTTTTCAGAACTGACATGCTATTATAAGTCTCAAAATTATAGTAGCTTGCCATGTAGGTTTTGGTTTGTTTTTTAATCTGTTCAGAAGATAGATACTTGTTGGTGAATCGGATTTCATTTTCAGTATTATTTCTGAGTATCAGACAGTATTGTGACATAATACTAAATATTGTAATAGGTAAAAACATAAACATTGGGTTTATCTCCTTTAAATATTTAAGTTCATTTCAACTCTTATACCAGGAAAGGGTAAGTTTATTGGATAGAAAACATCCTACAACATGCCTTATTTTTAATAATACAAATTACCTTCTCCTAATCTCATGGGAGAGAAATCTGATCTGAATTATCAGGAAAATAAAAAGGTTGTTTCAGCTATTCAGTCTCATCTTCAAAGGCTTGATGAGAGAAAACATCAGCCATTTGAGTTAGAGCCCTGTGAGATTTCATTCGTTTATTTTATTTAATTGACAAGAAGGCTTTCCATTATAGAGAAAGAAGGGAACTTAAGAAAACACTGTTTTCAATAAGCATATATTAATAATGGTAAAATCTTATGTAGTGTTTATATGTCTCTTGTAATTTCCTGGCAACTCTGTAAAATAAATACTCATATTGTCACTGTTTTTGGAGATGAGAACTGTGGCACAGACTGATTAACTAGATTTATCCAAAGTGACACAGCTACAAGTGGAACAGCTGGGCTTCAGGTTTTGGTAGTCTGACTCTAATCCACGTTCTTAACCATGACTCTAAAATACTGTTCATTTCTGCAGCATCAGTCATCTCTTGGGCCCAGTTGACACATACATAATTGAAAATGCTAGCGTCCAGGGTGAAGAACACTGTGAAATGCTTAATTAGGCATTCTTTGCTTTCATTCAGGATTGCCTTCCACCCTCCCATGCCCCAGTGTTAGAAAGCTTTGGACTACAACTTGGGTGCCAGTTTCTGTCAGTCAAGCCCTTAATCACAATGCTGAGAATTTTTTTGAAATGTAACCGATTCTTCTTCATAGGGAGTTTTTTTTTAAGTGTAATACATGTTTAAGAAAAGGGATTTCATGAGACGTTTTAATTCAGACTTTTTGTCATTCAAGAATGAATGCAAAAAAAAAAAAAAGAATGAATGCAAGGAAATACATTTAATTATTATATTACTATTAAGACTTGAGACTTCTGAGAACCTTTCTTTGTTACATGGTATATTCTGTTAAGTAAGATTGGAGTGATCTTATTGTAGCAATCTTATTATGCAAAAATATTTCCATGTGAAAGGATTGACAGGGTATTCACTGGATAACAGTTTTTATTCAGTAGAAGCTTGGACCAACTGAAATAAAATTTCTGTTTTATTTCCATTGAGTAGGTTGGCCAATTTGCATTTTCTAACGTGGTTAAATATTAAACACATATATCTTAATGTTGAAGTTTTAAAAGACATTTCCGAGTTTATTTTCATTGAATAAATTTTAGTGAACTTCTAATGTGCATTTGTTAATATTCTAAGCTTTTTTAGATTTATTTTGTAATTATAGTTTTTCTAATACTTTGATAATGTTTCTCCTTTTATTTCTTTCCTTGATCCTTAATTTTTCTTTACCATAAAACAGACATTTAAAAAAATTTAGCTTTATATTTCACTGACCCTTTGTGATTTTTCAACGAAAATTTGAACATACAATAGTAGTATATGATTCTTCAAAAATAAATTACTGAATGATTTTAAGTTATTGCCTGATATGTAATTTTTCAATATGGATATTATAGTACTAGTTTCTTTATCCCTAGAAGTGAATATTCTTTATTCCAAATTCCTTATAACTTTATAAAAAGCACAGTTTAACTTCAGTTCTATTAATGTGTTATGTGAACAATTTTGGAATTTTGGCCATTCTTTCAGTACCTCATAAGTCAGTTATGACATGTTCATAAATAAGTTGTCTTAACACGTGGCAGCAGTGTTTGTCAATAGTTTTAAATAGCCTGCAGCTAAGAATTAGGTAGGATTAAGTAGAAGCCTTATACTTAAAAGACAGAAGCTACAGACATAGGCTTTGCTGAAAGGTAGCAGTATTGATTTGTTCTGTTTGTTCTTAATTAATAGAAAATTTTCTGACTTTTAGGTTATAACAGATTACAAATAAATTAAGATGTATATGCTTTTATATATAGATGTATACTTGCAGATTATATTAAGAAATTATTAACATCTTTGATTTTTTTTTTATGAATCTGAAATGTAGTAAAAGTAAAAAGAAGTAGTTGACAAGCTTATCAAGGAATAAGATCAAATAAAAGCAGACATCAGTATTTAAAAATTACAACAATCTTGGTCCTTTTAAATATGGGACAAAACAATCCGTGAGGTATTCTCTGTAGTTTGTTGTTTTTTGTTTTTTGTTTTTTGTTTTGGTACTGGAATCAAACTCAGAACCTTGCACTTGCCAGGCAGGCACTTGTGCCTCTGACTTCTATCTCTGGTCATCTCTGTAGTCGAAAAAGTCAGAATTTTTAACCATGATCCCTAAGTAACATATAGAAGGTTATATTAAATTTATTACTCTCCCATCAAGACGAACAGATGTTCTTAAGAAAGTCTTGTCTTTTTAAAGTTAGTGTCTTGGTCACTTTTTTCCTTGCTGATGTTTGCGGAAATTAACAATACTTTAGTGTCATGGTCAGACTACCAAAATTTGAGTCCCAGCTCTGTCTGCTGCTTGCTGGGACACAATACCCGACACAACTTAAAGGAGGACACTTTTATTTTGAATCATACTTTTTAGTCAATAGTTGGTTAGCTCCAAGGCAAGAAAACATGGAAGGGTGTGGCAGAGGAAAGCTGTATACCGCTTGGCAGTCAGGAAACCAAGAGTTAAGGGAAGAGCTGGGTGGGAGTTACACACAGGCCCTGCCACCTACTAACTCCCCTCTTCGACCAGACCCCAACTCCTAACAGCAGTCTGCTGTACACCCCCATAGTCCAGACACCTTTCAGAAACCTAACCTGTGGGTGCATGAGGCTTTGGGGGACATGCGGATATAAACTGTAACAGTGGGTAAGCATTAGCTTTTGCAGAAATGTCCTTAATTTTCAGAAGTAGGATATTGCCATCTTTAATGTAAACCTGTTTTCTTTCTTTTTGTTTTCCTATACTTTCTTGTCCTTTGCAGGTATTGTACTAAGACAAACAAAACTTGCTTTGTTTATACTATTTTGCATGTAAATAAATCCATCATATTCAAAGTAATTAATTTTTTCCCCAGGTGCTACAAAGTACACAGACAAAGACAATGGAGGGATGCTTGTATGGTCTCCCTATCACAGTATTCCAGATGCCAAATGTAAGTTTTCTGGGATTGAGTGCTAAAATCAACAAGAATCTATCAGCCAACTCAATACGGAATTTATATTTGTTTTTGAGACTTTTAGATTCTCATAAGACAATTTTGTGTTTTCATTTTTTAATAGAGGTTATTATATTAGGATGTTTTTTCCTTTTGGAAGATAGAAGGTTGATCATTCCAATTTGTGTCAGGCCTGTGGAGAGTGAAAAAAACCTAGCATCTGATGGCATCGGTGCCTAAACCTTCAATCGGGAGGGGGTAACTGTATAACCAACCGCAAGGCTTGTCCTCTGTCTGTGGAGGTGTAAAGAACTGCCTGCAGACTTGAAAGAGCCCACTAGCGTTCTCATTTTAAAGAGGAAAGGGGAAGGAACTGACTTCAGCAGCCATCAGGTCATCTTTGTGCTCTCCATTTCTGGCCGGAGACCTTCTGGATCACTGACCATGCACCTCTTGAATCATGGTGTGGCTTTAGACTTCAGTGTGATGTAGCGGACCAGATCCTTTGCGGCACATCAGATATAGGAAACGTACAGGTAACAACACTTAAGATCCCCACCCCTCCATTCAGTTACTATTGAATTTATTAAATAATAGCATCAACAACATTGAACAGTCATTCTGGCAGCTATAAAATAAGTTCATCTTTTAAAAATATTTACTAACATCTTAAAGATGTCTCTATTGTTTGCATAGTTTCAAGAAAATTAACGATGTCCTGTGTATCATGTGCATAGTAAGTCTGATGCTTATTGATGCAGCAAGAGAACTAAGACTTGAAAACGGAGTATGCATCTCGATACCTGATAATTCTAGCTTTAGAACACTAGCTAGAGGCTAGCAGGTAATTGAGAAATTATGTGCCTTTGAGGCATTAACAGAAACCTTAAAATTGTTCAGTAGACCTGGAACTGTATACCAGAAATCAGAAAGAGACTATTGGGTTTCTAGTCCAACTCTTATTACACATAAAGGTTTTCATCACAAAGGGAACATCAGGGTGTCTTTGAGTTCTGCGAGTTCTGCTGTTTTATACAGTGGTGCATTTCTTAGCCAGGTGGAAAAATTCAGAAAGCTAACATGCAGTGATAGTATGGTATCCATGTGGAAGATGGACAAACATAAAGATTTCGGGCAAACATTTTCAACTGTGGTTATGTGTATGTTGGAATCATCTGGGAAGTATCTTTTAAAAGTACTGATGTCGAGGGCTGGGGATTTAGCTCAGCGGCATAGTGCCTGCCTGGTAAGCACAAGGTCGTGAGTTGGATTCCGGGTACCGGGAAAAACAAAAAACAACAAAAAAACAAAAAACACACAAAAGTACTGATGTCTAGTCTCTCTCTTAAACCAATTAAATCTGCATCTTCAGAGGTCAAGGCTGGGTGTCTGGCTTTTTAAAAGCTCCCACAATTTCTTATGCATAGCCAGGATTGCGAACCACTAGTTGAGTAGTATTATTTAGCTTTCCTATCTGTAGGCCTGTAAGATACTTCTGTTAAATTAATTGGCATATATTTAGTCCTATCATGTATTTAATTAAGTACTGTGGGTTCTAAGCAAAATGTACTATTTGGATTTTCTGCATCAGAAGCTTACACTTGGGGAGATTAACAACATCCATAAAAATAGGTGCTATTCTAAGAGCATATTGTTATGATAGCATACTCATGCACTAAGCTATACTGACCAAATAGGAGTGAGTAGCAGGTAGTTAGAAGTACTTAAAATATACCAGGTGCTATTCTGAGCACTTACATATGTTAATTCATGTAATCATAAGAGGAAGGTACCACTTAATCATCAAGTTACTCCACCAAGGTAAACTAGTAACAAGTAGAAAATCAAGCCCTGCTACACCACATGTTTCAGGATCAGAACTTGGAACCACTGCTTCTCAGAAATGTTTTTAAGTGATTTTACATATATAATAATATTAAAGGATTAAGGAGTTATTATGTGGACTTTACATAAAATTGAGTTCTAAATGTGCCAGACTTCTTAGCAATGAGGACTTACATTGCCAATGTATCATCATTAAAACTGCTTATCTGAATAGTTTTGTTGGCTTAGTTACATATGTAGGATAACTGAAAATAGAATATTTAAGCACATTTGTATAGCAACAGGAAGAGCTGAAGAAAATTTTAGGGATACTGAAGCATACTTAATATATGTCATTCTATGTAGCTAGCAAAATTATAGATAAATAATCTTTTATATAATAGGATGGTAAAGGCTTTGGGCCAGGTCTAAATATGGGAAAGGGTCTCAAATAGCTAAATAACTTCAAATAGAGACTATACTAGAAAAATGAAGAAATTACCTTAGTATTGTATACTGTAATTAGGTTTATTGTCTACTCAGAGATTGATCTTTTTCTACATACAGAAATAATTACATTATTGAATTAATAAGTATATGATACATGACCGTAGAGATGGCATATTAAATAACATGTTCAACCAGAGGAACTTGTGATCCTGTTCACATACCTCTTTTTTGTAATGTTTAGTGGAAGATGGCTTTGGGTGTTTTTGTTTTGTTTTTTCTTTATCCCTGGAATAATAAATAGTTTTATTTTGCCATGTTTTAAAAAGGTAGATCTCGGCAAATTAAGTAAATGAGAATAATTACCTAACATTTTCATTGCAGTGGATGAGTATATTGCAATTGCAAAGGAGAAGCATGGCTATAATGTTGAACAGGTACGTATAGAAACTTTTTTTTCCTTTTTTTAAATATGGGTTTCTCTGTGTTGCCCAGGATAGCCTTGAGCTCCTGGGCTGAAGCAATCTTCCTGCCTCAGTCTCCTGAGTAGCTGGGACTACAGGCACACACTACTGCACTCTACTTTGAGATAGAGATTGTTAAATCTCATTTCAACTAAGTGTCATTTCAACCTTGATTAGAATTAATAATAAAATAGGTAATTTATTTTTACAGAAGAAAGGTGAAATATCTGTATCTTGAGTTACCAAGAGCTATCATGTCAATAACATGATAAATTAATACCATTTTTGTGAAATTGAGATGTTCAACTTTTTTGTGGATTTTGAAGCCTTTGACTATTTTGTTACTAAGCCTTGTGTTTCTGTTAATATATATTTGAGACAAAGTTAAAATGTGATTGCATATGTGGTCATTCTCATGTTTATCGCAAAGATCTGTTATCAGAATTCACTTTCAAACTCACTACTTAAAAATAATGCTTTTTGAAGAACAAAAGTTTATCCTCTAAATGATATTTAATACCTTATAGTAAAGATAAAAACCTACTTACAGTAAAGAGGAAAGCATGGAATTTCCAGGAATTGACTATGTCAGATTTTCTTATGGCTTGGTAGTCAAGTTACCAAAGTTAATTACATACTTTCCAGTAAGTCTGTACATTATACAATATGAAAACTAAAAAGTATACGTGGTGATACATTAAATTGTTAAAGTAGCACTTTTGGTACACTTAATTCTTGAAAGTATTTAGCCTGCAATATTCTTTTGAAAGGTTAATATATATTTATATATATATAATATATATTAACCATTTCTCTAGTACATCCCAACTGAGTGTTTCTAGTTTTGTGTTATAACTGATAGTTTCATTCAAGTATTAATTTACTGGGTATTTTCCTTCTAGCATTTTTTCCCCTACACACTGGCAAATCAATAATGAAAGTTACACCCCAGATCATTGTTTTTCCTAAATTCTGCAGCAGTCTGGTATGTATGTACTTCGACTGTTTTGAGGCCATGATTTTAAAAGTCCTAAGCTGAGTTTTATCTCTGTTGATGTCAAGCTTAAAATTTTTATCTAATGTGTGTGGAACTTCGTAAATTTTGTGTTGAATTTAATGGAATGTAAGTCCATTCAAACCAAGGGGAATGATTTCTCTTCAAGGCACTTGGCATGCTGTTCTGGCATAAACATAACATTGAGAAGTCCCTTGCTGATCTCCCTAATTTCACTCCCTTTCCGGATGAGTGGACAGTCGAAGATAAAGTCCTGTTTGAGCAAGCCTTTAGCTTTCATGGGAAGAGCTTTCACAGGATTCAGCAAATGGTACGGTGATTTTAGTCTTTTGTAATATATCTTGTGATATTATTGAATATTTCTCACTTACTAAATGTGAAAATGTTTTCCAGTTTGATTTTTAAAATATATTGAAATATATATTTACTTGCATACAGTTCTATTTTTTATGATTTATGTATGACAGTGGTGTAACATTATCATTTTTGACAAATATATGTGTGTCATAGCTATGAAATATTTGTTGTTCCAGAAATAAAATCATCACTTCAACTTTATTTTTAAATGTTTCGTTTTTTGACATTAAGATTTGGTTTCCTTACATTTTTTGGTATGAAAACCCATTTTAAAAATTTTGTATTATTTTAGTATTGTTTAGGTGTTGCTAAATTTTTGATTAAGAAATACTTAGTATTTTATCAAAATAATATATGTCTGAGAAGTTACTGTGTTAAACTATTTTAACTAGAATAAATAAAAATTGGGTAATGTTTGCAGATACTTTTAGATACCTTCTGTGATTGAAGAGAACATTTTTGATAGGGAATTTGTCTCATTTGCTAGTATGACAGATGCATGTATGATCATTAGTTACTTTAATACACAAACACTATTTGGTAGCTAAAGTCTATTTGCATTATTTGTCATCTTAAGACCTAGATTTAAAACAGGATTAAAAAATTTATCAAGTGTAGACTAGCTATTCTTGAGAACATTTTGCTAAATGATTCAAAAGACCACATACAGTATGACTATTTATATGAAATCTCCAGAAAAGGTAAATTCACAGAGACAGCAGTAAATTAGTGGTTGTCAGGGACTTGGGGAAGGGAAAATAGGGAGTAACTGCTAATGGGTATGGGGTTTCTTTTTGAGTTTATATGGCATTAGATAGAGGTAACAGTACAACTTAGTATACTAAAAGCCACTGAATTGTACACTTTACCTGGTGAATTTCATGTTATCTTAATTATATCTCAAAATTCGCATTGATGGACTGGGAATTGAGTAGCTCTTGAAGGAGAGGAATATTGAATACTAACATGGCTATGCTGGGAACTTCTGGGGACATTGTTACTAAATTAGTGACATCCTCCTCTTCTCCCCCAGAACAGTAATAATACCACTTCAGAAATATGAATGACATCGGTGTATTGGGGTATTGTGACTATTGTCACAGCACTTTCTAGCTCTTATAATTCATAAAGGTACCTATCAAATAGTTTCTATTTATGTTTTTATTATCAAAGAATAATATTATTCATTTTGTTAAGAGTTTAATGAATTAATCCTGCTAATGTTAACACGATTTTTTTAAAGCTTCCAGATAAGACAATTGCAAGCCTTGTAAAATATTACTATTCTTGGAAAAAAACTCGCTCTAGGACAAGTTTAATGGATCGCCAGGCTCGTAAACTAGCCAATAGACATAATCAGGGGGACAGGTAGGTTGGATCCCTCTATTTAGTTATAGTGTGAGGGACATTACATTAGATTGCTTATATTTTATAAGGCACAAAAGTTGTTACAACACACTGTGTATTCTTCCTGTTCTTACATTCATGTCTGCTGTGCCAGGAAAAGCCAAATAGCAAAAGTCATAACAATAAGAACTCTCTTCAGTTCTCCCAACCATAGTACATGTTTCCTTTTAGTATTGATGTAGGCAATACATATATGTAGAATATATAAAAACACTATATTGTGGAAGGGGTCCTTCCCACAATTACATGAGTAACTGAAGTCCCCATGATGGTAGCTATATTGTCCTGGTAGTGTAAAATCATTTGTTGGCTGGGTTTTGTCTGCCTCTAGTCTTCAACTAAAGAATCAAAACTATAAGTATTACTCAAATTGTTTGTGTTCTCTTTTTCAAATAATACTTTTTTCTAAATCTCTTTCCATTAAGTATTTTTTTAGCTAGAAATGTTTGCTAAAATGATTCTGTAAGCCCTAAAAGATGTTTCTAAACACTACAGAAATCTAAATTATGAACTCTTCTTCCTAATGTTTCTTGTTCTGTTAAGAAATATTTAGTAAAATTATTGGAAGTAATATTACGGTTTGATAGGCATAGTGGAATAAAAGTAAAAATAACCCAGCTTACCAATCTTTCCTTCCTAGTGATGATGATGTGGAAGAAACACACCCAGTGGATGGAAATGATAGTGACTATGACCCTAAAAAAGAAGCCAAAAAAGAGGTAATAAGCACCAGAAGTCCTTGTCAGTTTTCTATAAATCTCAAAAGCGATGAGTATTTCATGTTAAGAAAAACCTTTTTTATATAATGGTTTTGGACAGTGATTGCAAACCTTTTAGAGACCAGTGCCCAAACTGCCACCCCAAACCTATTTATTTATCACAAAGTGCCAACACTGCAGTTAAACCTGACTGAATACTGAGGTTTTAGTTTAGAAAAATAACTCAAACATTAACGTCTTTTGTCTTAAAAACAAATAACAAACATGCTAAATGTTTGCCACCAGCGGTTTAGGAGATAGTAAATTTCAGTCCCAGCTTGAGGATTTTCAGTCACTGGAACTGCAGTTAACAGCAGTATTTTAAGTGATTTTGGGGTTATCTCTTGTTAAATACAGAAGCCCTGCCGTAATTCCTAGTCTTTAATTCATAGAAAAGAAATAAAACCACCCTTACCCTTGACATACTGTTATGTATACAATTAAGCTTTCTGGGTTTATTACCCAGTTTTTCTTGGAAACATTTTATTTGTTCCATTTGGTAAATTAGAGTAGTAAAAGAAATACTGAGCAGCAACGAAAATTAAGAGCTATCTCAAAAAAAGAGATAGAAGAGTCCTTAACTAGAAATGTACTCATCTCCTGCAATGGGATGACAAGAATGACAACTAAAAATCATTAAGAAAAGGCTAAGTTGATATACAGGCTCTGTTTACTAAGGCAAGGAATTACAGTAATACCTCTATTCACAAACACTTCTGTTTGTGAACAATTTCGTACGTAAACAAAAGCATTCCACAAAATTTTGCTTCTGTCTACAAACTCCACATCAGGTGACAAACATGATTGTGGCCATCTTCCCCACACAAACACGGCCATCTTCCTCAAATTTTTAAGACATACTGTTTGTAAACTGAGGTACTGCTGAACAACTGGAAAAGAAATACAACCAAAATGTTGATAAAGGCTTGTGAAGTACATAAGCAGCTTCACAATAATAAAAATAACATTGAAATTGGAGACAATAGATCTGAGTTTGTTTAAATTTATTTTCTACTTACTAAGTATATGACCTCATCCAGTATGACTGACATTTTTCTTAAATTCAATTTCATGGCCTATTCTGACCCTTGACATCACTTTAAAATCTTCCACTAATGAAATTTAAATTTACTCTGCCTCACCCTGGTATTTCATTCTTTCTACTATGGAATATTCTGAAGTTCTTTGATTCCTTCATCCCTCCTCCACCCGCCTGCTTAAACTTCATTTCCTTGAGCTATAGACTGTAGAATGGTTCATTACTTGAATTGCCTTCTTCCCCATTTCCCTATTTAGTTTACTACCCATTTTTCTTACTCTTCTGCTGTACCTTTTCTTTTGTATCTGTGTAAATCCAAAATCCTGGATCAGTTGCATTCTTGGACTGAGAAATACAGCAAAGGAGAAATGACTCAATTATGTGGATTTTTACTACTACAAAAACATAGTTTCTAATCTCAGGATCATCCTTAGTGTCCCCTAGAGTTTAACTTCTAGGTCTCAGTTGTTTCACGAGCAAAATGAAAGTGGTAGGATTGTTTTGAAGTACCTAGGCCACAGTAAATCTTGAATGCAAGTTGCTGTTCTATTATCTGGCAACTATTGTAAACATTTATTGTTTTCCACATATTGTCTGACATCTCTTGACCCCACTGCTCCCCTGCAACACCTGGCAGATACTTTCACCTCGTACTTCACAAGAAAATACATGCAGGTGCTGCCTCACAATCTACTGCTTCCTCTAACACTCTGTGCTACTACACTACCCTTTTCTTCTCGGCGTATTTGTGCTTAGAACACATTACCCTTCTTTTCTTCTGCCCAGTAAACTTTAAACTCTTTGTAGTCGGTGATTGAATTATACATCTTTTATCCCCCAGCATTTTGCATAGTAACTGGCATCCAGCAGAGATTCAATAAATATTTGTCAAATGAATAGTCTTGTGCCCAAGTGCCTCTCTTTCTCAATAAGAAAGGTTCCTACTTCTGCTTTCTACAGTTTCACTGCCTGTACAGTGGTGTCCATTTCTTCCTGTCCTGAGACTTTGTCCATCAGTAAACCTCTTTTTCCCATACTTCTAGCATTTGCATTGAGCCCAGGAGTGTGTTCAAGTCTCCCTCTAAATGCTTGACTGTCAGCTGCTCTAGAAAACAACCATGTCACTTAAGAAGGCAGCCACTGCCTCCCTTGAGCTCACCTCGAGTGGGCGTCTTCTGTCCACACTTTACTGAAAGTGCACAGCGGCCAGCTGGTGGCTTCTTCACCAGTTGGTTAGGAAGTGGCTGGTGACTCACTGTGTTCCACATTTGCTTTCTCATTTCACAGTTCTGAGCCTTCCCTTCTTTAGAATCTTTTACTTTTGTATCCCCTTGCTGGGAGTCCTGTGTATCTCTTTTACCACTGTGTCTCAATTTTAGTGACATTTTTCTTTCTCCTTTATTCATTTTGCCATTATTGTATTCAACTGTCTCAACAGCTGACATTTGTCCTCAACTCTCTGCTCTGTTATTTGCCTTGTTGGGTCTCATCTCTTGTCTAGATTGCCCTATTTTCTGTCTTAGTGCCCTGCTTCCAGAATTTCCAGAGCACCTTCCCTACCCATTGGCCAACATATTACCAAACCACGCTTAAAAATCAAATGTGCTATTTGCACCCCTTCCATTGCTTTGCTGTAGGATCAAATGCTAAACTTTCCAATGGGCAGTCCCCGTCCCACCCCATGTTATTCAACTTACAAATGCCTTCTACTTCCCTGATTTTTGTCTTATGCTTATGTTGGTCCCTTTTCTGTGGAATTTACTTTTTCACCCCAATTGGCCTACAGAATTCCTCATGCTTAAATAAAATGTAAGTAACTTCTTTATGAAATCTTGTCCCTTACCTTGAATTGACAACCTCCTTATTTTTCTTTAAACTTTTTGTACTTCTAATTGCTGTTATCAGTACCTGTTTATAGGTCCTCCCCCATCTCTCCTCTAACACACACATGCATGCATGCATGCATGTGCACACACACATACCAACACACATGCCTATCCCTAGGTAGTAAGTTTTGTAAGAGCAAGAACTATATATTTTACCTATCTTTTTATTTCCTGGGCCTGATACGTGGTAAGCATTCATTAAAATTATTTATGGTAGATGAGAATGTATTTTATAAACTTACTGTCCAAATATGAAAGATGAAGGATTTGGCTTTAATTATCTATAGAGTACTGTTTTGGCTAACTATGCAAGATTATGCCCCTCCCCCCCCCAAAAAAAGGTGATACCTCCTCTTTTGGTCTTCTGCTTGCCTGTGAGGTGAGTATAAGTTAAGAGGCATTAAAAGAGTGTTGTCAGATTATGGCCCAGGACTGGTGCTGTATGTCTGCAGCTTCACTGATTTCTCTGCCATTTCAAAAATAATAGGGTGCCAGGCAGGGAAAGGTACCACACCATGACCTTTAACACAGAGCTTTACACTTGCTTTTGCCTGTTAACATAGTACATAGAAAGTTTTTATTTTAGCTTTTAAAAGTTGTGCACTATGCATCTCATAGAATAAGTGTATCCATTGCTAAATTTAAGAAATAAAAATTTTGTTTGTATGTTTCCTCAGTTCTATACCCTTCTTTTCTCACCAGAGGGAACCACTATCCTGAAATTTATTATCTATGCCTTTTAAAATAGTTTTATCACATATGTATGTTTCACTGTGTAAGTGTCATTTGATTTTGTCTGTTTCAAACTTGTTTTTTGGTACCAAAACTCAGGCCCTTGTGTTTGCCAGGCAGGCGCTTGTGCCTCTGAGCTATATCCCCCACCTCAAACTTTTTAAAAATGGAATCACTGTGTTTTTTTAGCACTTGTTACTTTTGGCAATTCATTTGCTATACCTTAGCATCCCACTCTGTGTGTGTGTGTGTGTGTGTGTGTGTGTGTGTGTGTGTGTGTGTGTATAGTAATTTATCCACTGCTACCAATGGGCATCACTTCCAGTGGGGTTAATGGGGGGAGGATGCTTTGTTTTTATTAGCAATGCTGATAGGAGATTGTCTTAGATGTGTGTATGCAGTCTTTTGGGACAATAGTTGTCACCAGGATTCAGCATTGTTCCCATAAAGGACATCCAGAAATTATGCAAGTGTTTTTTGCTGTTATGGTTATTGTTGGGCACCACTGTCATAGAGTGGGCAGGGAAGACGGATGCCAACTGTCCTGAAGTGCACAGCACAGATCATTCCAGGGAATGCCCACAGTGACTGAGCAGCAGTGCCCCAGGAGTGTTTAGAATAGAATCGCCTGTTTTGGGGGATAGCTGTTTTCAGCTTAACTGGGTAATGACAGATCATTTCTATATCTGATATACTTCTGTTGGTCAGTGAGTGTCCATTGTCTACTTCCTTACCAGTATTTTATAATGATCAGAATTAAAATGTTTTAAATCTGGCAGTAAGAGGTGATATCTCAGGGTGCTCTCAGTTTCGTTCATTAGAATATTAATGAGGCTGAAAACTTCTATGTGTTTATTGACTGTAGTTTTGTTTTGGTACTGGTGATTGGATAGTATATCTTTTTAAGTGCTTGTTTTCTGTGGGTTTTTAAGTGCTTTTTTAACTGAATATTTATCTTCTTAAAGACAGAAAATATTACAAATATTTCTGTGGAATTCTTTTTCTGATTAAATGTATATGTCAAATGTATATGTTATTTTTTTTTTTTCTGGTACCGGGAATCAAATTCATGACCTCACACTTGCCAGGCAGGTACTGTGCCACTGAGCTAAATCCCTAGCCCCTCAAAGATTGTTTAGTGGTTTGTAGTTTTATCTTTTTATGTCTTGGTTTAGAACAGCTATTTTATGAAAAATATGTGCATTTTCAAAATTCCATATTCTGTTTTATATTTTTGAAAGCTTGTCTTCTTTTTAAAGTTTTCCTTTTTACCTTTGCTCCCTTGACCTAGCAGTGAATAAATT